AATTAGCTATCCATATAATAGCAAACTCATTTTTCTCCGTGTATAGAAAAATAAAAAAAACAGAATTTTATGAGGTATTTACTGTATACTTTAAACGTGTTCAAACACGCACGAATCGACTGAAATCGACTTTTGCGGGATAAGGTCGGTCGGAGGGCTCGGCCGCTCGGCTTTGCTCGGACTCGAAGGTATTTCCCATTACATATATTATGAGTCATCACTTTGGTTATGCACACAGCGGCGCAGTCTCGAAATTTGTCTCAATGTTTTCTACTGTTTAATAATAATCTGACTTGCACTAAACAAGCCTCTATTTTGCATCACTTAAAGAAAACTTGTAAAGTTTCTTCTCAAGCTTGCGTATTATATTTTCGTCGTTCAGAAATTCGCTAATTATCAATCGAGAGTCGTGTTTGTGTGTGATTTTCGTGCCGCAATTTCATTTTTGACATACGGCTTTATACTGTAGTCTATTCATTTAATAACCAGTGGAATAAATAGTAGAAAAAAAATTTCATCTCAACAAAGTTGTAAAAAGCAGTAAAGCTTTATCATGAAACTGGAAGTGTCAGATATTCTGTACGACAGCTCAAGTGTTTCCAGTGATAGTGGAACGTCACAAAGCTCTCGAGTCAGCCATGACTTTCTGTCCGCTATCGTTAACTCAGTCCCATCAAATAATGTGAGTATACATTGCAAATTTCTTTACTTTTTTCAATAACAATGTCACAATTTTTTTATTCTTTATTTCATTTTCTTTTTCTTTATTTCGTTGCTCCTTGGCAGTAAGAGCATAAAAGTCAAAATTCTAAATGTTTTTTTTTTTTTTATAAGTCAGTAATTTATTGTAAAATTAAACATCAGTATACACAGTGGTCGGAAATAAAAAATGATTTGCCAAAAATATTTTTTTTAATTAAATCAAATATTTTATTAATAAATAATGTTTCTGTTATAGTTTTAAAAAATATCTTTCTTATTTTGAGTCTGAAAAAAAAATAAAAAATGTTAAAAATAATTGTAAAAATATAAAAGGGATTGAACATAATATTACCATTAAATTCACGAGGATATAAAGAAACGTAAAATTTTCAAAACGTAAACATATCTGCATTTTTTAAAATAAACGCATTTTTAAAGTATTATTGTATTTTGTTTTAAATAATTTCACTTTATTCAAATAGGTAGGATAAAAAAATGTAGGAGTCATTTTTGCTTGAGATTTTAAATTCACAAAGACCTTACCTTAGCCTCAATTCAACTTGAAAATTAAGGACCGCATGAATATGTCCTAAAAATCATGAGTTAGAATTTTCATTTTATGGAATTTCATTTATCATAATTACTTTTGAGCCGAATTTTTATTTGTTCAAATTAGTATTCTGCAGAATTTTCATCAAACCGATTTTCTATATTACAGAATTTTTATATATAATCGAAAATTTTATTCACAGAATTTTCATTTAACATAATAGGAATTTTAAAGAATTTTTATTCAGTAGAATCTCATTGCATAGAATTTTCATTTTATTCTTTCAGATGAATTTTCATTTGATATAATTTCCATATAACCGATTTTTCATATTCTACAGAATTTTTACTTAACCAAAAAATCATTTAACAGAATTTCTAATTGATAGAATATTATCATTTGTCCGTAATTACAAATGGGCCGAACAAAAAATCGACAGAAAGATTTCGGCATGATTTTTAAAATCAACCAATCACAATTTTATGGATAATTTTTGATTGGTTGATTTTAAAAATCGCGCCGAAATCTTTCTTTCGATTGTTTGTTTGGACATTTGTAATTTCGGACAAATGATAATTCTATCAATTAGAATTTTGGTTAAGTAAAAATTCTGCAGTATGAAAAATCGGTTATATGGAAATTATATATATATGAAATAATGATTCGAAGAAATGAAAATTCATCTGAAAGAATAAAATGAAAATTCTATGCAATGAAATTCTACCCAATAAAAATTCTTTAAAATGCCAATTATGTTAAATGAAAATTCGAGCAAATTTTTGGTTATATAAAAATTCTGTAATATAGAAAATTGTTTTGATGAAAATTCTGCAAAATACTACTTCGAACAAATAAAAATTCGGCTCAAAAATAATTATGACAAATGAAATTCCATAAAATGAAAATTCTAACTAATAATTTTTAGAACATATTCATGCGTCCCAAAATTAATATAAATGAAATCGAGCTTTTTGCAATAGTTAGAAAAATTGACTTTTAGCAAATAATTAATTTTTTCTGAACACTGTGCAGTATCTTATAATTTTGACTGCCATATTGGATCCGCCATTTTGAATGTTGAAACTCTGACATCTGATTAATAATCAACGACCCCGAAAACCCCCCGATATACCAGGTTTTATAAAATTTTGAATAATTTTTAAAAGATATCTTGTCACATTTTTCATTTAGAGGTTGTTTTCACCCCTAAAAACCACAAACGATTTAATCTAGCAAAACCGGCCAGACACGGGTATTCTTTTTTTTTGGTCCTAGTTTCCGAAAATGTTTGATTTTTTGTGCGTCAAAAAGCATGGTGGACGGTGATATATTAAATATTCCCATAAAAATTAGTTCAAGTAAGAAAAATTGATAAAATTAATTTTAATACTCGTCTAAAAGTAATAACTCTTTGTTTCTAAAAACAAATATTTAAAAATTTTAATTGAAATATTACAAAATTAACTTTCTTTTAAAGCGTTGATTTTACCGGAATCTTGTGTTTAAAATATAAACATTAAATTGTACATCTGTCATTGGAGTCACGAAATGAAAATCATTGTTTGCTGATAGTTCGCGTTTTTCTATCTTGAGACGTTTTTTTTTTTTTTTTTTTTTGTCACGAACTCCGACTGATTGTGTTTTATCCACACTTTGTGAAAGAAGCACGTGCAACCATGTGCGATACAAGGGGACAAAGAAACAAGAAAAAGGAGTTTTATAATGACTCATATAGAACTTTGCAGCTGAACGCGCTTAACTCTAAAGCAATAAGAGAACAATTTTTCCAAACTCAATTTTCAAAATATATAAAAGTTCCGTTTTTTTTTCCTCTTGGATATAAGGATTCTTAAACTGAAAAATTATAAGGAATATGTATATATATATTTATGTACAACAGTTATATTAATAGCCTTTATAATTCCTGTTTTTTATTAACTTGATTCGCACATGAATGACCGAATGAGTATAATATATTTTTCTTTATAAAAAACACTTAAATGTTTTTTTGGCATTTCATCTAATGAATTTAAAATAAAAAGAGACGCCTGGAAGTGACTAATGCAGAACGAAGATTTGCCAAGAGCATGACTCATCTTTGCATCAAATCATAGAAAAAGTTTGAAGCTTAATCTCATTTTGAGGCTACAGATTTCCGTGTCATTCAAAAGTTGTTTAACCTTTTGTTGGGCATTTTTATTTACTTTAGTTTTCTGGTTTTCAATAAGATTTAAGAAAATTACATTTTCTCATTCCTAACGAATTTTTTAACCTACTTTTTGCAATTTTTTCTATATTCCCACTTGGAAAGATTCCCCGGAAAGTGCCACCTGGAGGTTCCATCAGAATTCCGCCGGAACTTCCAACGTAATTCCGTCGGAGTTCCAAAGAATTTCCAATGGGATTCCGACGGAATTCCGATTAATTTTTTTTTCAAAATTTTAGAGTCCTAATTCCGTCGGAATCCCATCGGAAGTTTTTTGGAATTCCGACGGAATTACGTTGGAAGTTCCGGCGGAATTCTGTTAGAACCTCCAGGGGGCACTTTCCAGGGAATCTTTCCAAGTGGGCTTTGACAATTCTGCTAATGTTTTTATAGTATTATTTAATTACTATAATTAATTGATAATAAAATGTTTAATAATACCTACACGGAGAAAAATGGAAAAACGAATAAAGTAACTTTTACTACTTAAAAAGTAAAACCGGAACTGTCCGCAGTTTCTGCGCATTTCTCTCAATTTTTACTACAGAAATTACATTTATAGTAAAATATATTATTTCTGGAATAATTTTTACTATTTCAGAAGTAAATTTTACTATTTCTGAAGTAAAAATTGACAGAAATGCACAGAAACTGTGGACAGTTCCGGTTTTCTTTTTATAGTAGTAAAAGTTTATTCATTTTTCTCCGGGTGTATAAAATTTCTATCAAAAACTGTTTAACTAAAAAAATTAAAAATTTTTATCTTCCTTTTTAATGAAAAAACATTTCTCTGTTAGATATTAAAATTTGACTTTAAAAGAAAAAAAAGTAGAAAAATATTGAAAATTTCTAAAATGCATTAAAAATTTATAAACTATAAAGAAAGTCATTTGGAAGTGAGTTTGCATTTTTGTTGAAAGCCATTAATTATGAATCCACTTCAATAGAGTACCTACTAAATCAAGTGAAATATTTCATTATAGGAAAATATTTTCTATTTATAACGCTATATGGGAAAAGATTTGAATTTTCGAATTTCCCATATAGGTATATTGCCATCCCTGATAATTTAATTTTCTTAATTTGGAATCAGTGATGTATGTATACATATATGACGTCAGTACGCTACACAGCCTAAAGAATCTACTGCAATTAAATGTTTTAAGTGGCCCTGAGGAAAAAGGAGTATGTAAGAATTAAAATTCGCATAACTATTCAAGTCCTGCGTGAATTAATAAAAAATAAATGTAGTGAACTAGAATTTATACTTTCGTCGCATACGACCAATAAAAGAATGAATTTCAGGGAATAATTAATTCTTAATTCGAGGAATTTTACACAGTTTGTGGTTTGGTGGTAGCAATCATGTGCAAGTACAAGCAGTCAAGTTGCATTGAATGCGTTGATTGGTCAAGCAGTATCGTGCGAATCGGCTATCAAGATGGCGATGACGTCATTCGGAACTCTAGAGAAAGTAGTGGGGACTTATTGTTGAGCTCTCTGTAGTTTCCCACTACCTCGTCACGTTAGTCAGTAATGAGCTCAGTGTTCAGTTAATACTTTAACGTCGTCAGTATAACAGCTAGTTAATCCTTTCCACTCTTTTTTTTTTTTTTTCAAAAGTAGTTTTAGTGAACCTTAATCGTCTGAATATTTCTCTCTCAGTTATCGACTCTAGCCAATAAAATTCTATAAACGCAAATCAATAATCAACAAGTGGAAAGTGAATTTATCGACTATCGATAAAATCCTTCGCCAATCTATACAACTTAAGTGAACTGAACCTTGACCTGTTATAATTAACAGGTATTTTTTATTCTTTTTTTTTTGTTTTGTTTTACTAACAAGTGAATAACGCCAAATTGACGAAAAAACAATTATGCAACGTGTGCCTAACGTGGGATTTTACGAAAACGTCATCGAGGAGCACAACTATACAATGTTTACAATGTATCCCCCTGGGGGTAATTCGAACGATTCTTGGCAATTAACGAAGGAGGAAAAAAATATGGTAATGGACAGTCAAAAATTCTTTTTTAAAAAAATATCATATAACACGGCATTCCCCTTTATTAAACAAACAATTTAACAATAACTAACCAAGTGTCAAATTCTCACAAATAAATTTTACTACAATGTCAATCCAAACATTTTTTTTATAAAAGACAAAATAATTTACTTTAAAATGAGCCTAAGTACATTGAAAAGCGTTTATTATTTTAAAAGTAATTCAAATCTTTAGGAAACATTGAAAAGGACAATTTTTTTAAAAAATCCCTAAATAAAATATTGGCAAAATCTTTTAGATCTTATTCTTCACATATATATCATTTAAAAAGGGAAAAAAATTGTAGTTTATACATTTTATCTTTTAAGATATTTTTTCATACATAAAAAAATGGTCGCAAATTTCTGACAGCACTGCAGAAAAAAAAGTATGTATCTTAAAATACATTGTAGTCATTTCTCTAACCATCTAACATCTTAAAAATTAATGCATTTTAAGATGTTCTTGATAAATTTTTTGGAATCATTTTAAAAGTGACTATACCAATGTGTTTTGTATAAATGCAGGTCTCGGGTTATATGACTTTTTCTGACTTTTCTTCAAAAATACGACTTTTTTCGACTTATTTGAATAAGATGCGATTTTTTCGACTTTTTTTTACATTTTTTTTTACAAAATTTTTTAACAAAATACGTCATGTATTTTTTCACGCTGAATCCGAATCCGAAGTCAGAATAATCAGATTGGCTTTTATTTTTGAGATAAACTCAAAAAACTGCTCAGAAAGAAAAATAAAATCAAAAAGTTAAAAAAATTTTGAAAGTCACTGCGATAGTGTAATTCCATGTATTTTTTGTCGCTGAATCCGAATCCAAAGTCAGAATTGTTAGATTCGCTCAAATTTTTGAGATAATTGCAAAAAAACACAAGTAACAAAAAACTCAAAATACTCAAAATCAGTTTTTTGGAATTATCTTCAAAATTTGAGCCAATCTGTCAATTCTGACTTCGAATTCGGATTCAGCGTGAAAAAATACATGAAAATGCACTATCGTAGTGTTTCGGCAAAAAAAATTATCTGTGCCCCTAATTCAGAATTTTTATCAGTTTTTGGCGATTTTAGCTCAAAGAAATTTTTTTTGCCGAAACACTACGATAGTGCATTTTCATGTATTTTTTCACGCTGAATCCGAATTCGAAGTCAGAATTGACAGATTGGCTCAAATTTTGAAGATAATTCCAAAAAACTGATTTTTAGTATTTTGAGTTTTTTGTTACTTGTGTTTTTTTGCAATTATCTCAAAAATTTGAGCGAATCTAACAATTCTGACTTTGGATTCGGATTCAGCGACAAAAAATACATGGAATTACACTATCGCAGTGACATTCAAAATTTTTTTAACTTTTTGATTTTATTTTTCTTTTTGAGCAGTTTTTTGAGTTTATCTCAAAAATAAAAGCCAATCTGATTATTCTGACTTCGGATTCGGATTCAGCGTGAAAAAATACATGAAAATAGACTAGTGTAGTGTCTCGGCCAAACCACATTTTACTTTTTGTGTGCCTGTGTTATTTTTCAATTGCAAATTTTATAAAATTCAACAATTGTTCACAATTTTAAAAAAAATCAAGTAAAATTACCAAAAATTTCAATTTAAAACCTATTAAAATTTAATTATTTTTAAAATTTTTTGAAATTTATTAATTTAAATTACAACATTTTTCAATTAAAAGAATTTTAAAGTTCAATTTTTGTCTTTAATTTTTAATCAAATTCTTCAGCAATAGAAATCACCAAAAAAAATTTCAATTAAAAATCACTTGAATTCAATTATTTTGACAAATTTCAATTTAAAACCTTCTAAAATTTAATAATTTTAAATGATTTTTGTAATATTCTTCGAAAATTCAATTATTGTGTGAAAGCATTTTTCAATTAAAAAATTTTTTAATTCAATTTTTGTCTGTAATTTCTATAATAAATTTTTCATCAACAGAAAACGCGAAAAATTTCAATTTAAAATCACTTAAAGTTCAATTAATTTCAAAAATTTGAATTGTAAATTTTTGAATCAAAAACTCTAAAATTGAATTGTCAGAATTTTTTTTTTTATAAATTTGTCCTCCTTAATTAAAATTTTAAAAATTTAAATTTTCGAAATAAATGTTTTTGATAATATTTCTATACACGGAGAAAAATGAAAAAATGAATAAAGTAACTTTTACTACTTTAAAAGTAAAACTTGACGGTCCGCAGTTTCTGCGCATTTTTGGCAATTTTTACTCCAGAAATAGTAAAATTTACTATTTCAGGAGTAAATTTTACTATTTTTGGAGTAAAAATTCCCAGAAACTGCGAACCATTCAGGTTTTACTTTTAAAGTAGTAAAAGTTACTTTATTATTCTTATTAAGGAAATAATAAAATGGATTTAATATCTAATAACATTAATTATTATTTAAAGTAAAATACTTATTAACTAATTAAATTTAATTAAAATGAGCTGCCGGATCAAAGAAGGGCACATAATTAATGTAATTCAAATGAGTTATGTCCCCTTCTTTGATTCGGCAGCTCAAATAAAAAAATTGCCTTTTTCGACTTTTTTTTTAACGCAATGAATAAAACTACTTTTTTTGCGCCTTAAAGTCGATCCGAGGCCTGTAAATGACTACTTTTGGCAGTGCAGTAGTGTTTAAATTGTCTTTTTCTACTTTTATATATGAAGTAATAGTAAATAAAATCAGTCCTAAACATTGTTTTAATTATTTTTTCGACTTGCTTATTATTGTATGTCTGTTCGTTAATAATAATATATATAAATGTTAATGATTCATATACAAAGAATGTCCTGCATATCACAATTTTATCGCCTCGTATTCAAGATAACAAACCTAAAGAAAACGGCAAAAATTCTCTCCCTGTTGAATTTTTTTTTTCAATAAACAAATCGTTAACGAAATATTAAAAACTTATTGCATAGCGCGAATAATTTGTTTCCTCGAAATATACCTTTGGAGAATTAACAGTACATAATTCATAATAAAGTGGAGGGATAAAAAATTATGTAAAAAATGAGACGCATAAATAATGCATAAAATTAGTTATTATTATTATTATTTATCAGAATTTCCAATTTTTTATACTACAGAATTTTTACTTAGCCGAAAATTCATTTAACAGAATTTCTATACTTGATCGAATTTTCATTTGTTCGAATTAACTTCGTTCAGAAACGTTTGAATGCGTATATTTTACATTTAACCAATCAGAAATTATCCAGATTATTTAATAATTATAGAATCTGCAACGAAATCTTTCTACCGAATGTTTATTCGAACAAATAAAAGTTCTGTCGAATAAAAATTTGATTTGATTGAAATTTTGTTAAATGAATTTTTGGTTAAGTAAAAATTCTGTAATATGAAAAATTGGTTATGTAGAAATTCTGTAAAATAATAATTCGAACGAACGAATATTCTTTTAAAAGAAAATTCTGTCTAATGAAATTCTGCTGATGAATAAAAATCCGTTTAAATGACTATTCAGTCAAATGAAAATTCTAAAAAATAGAAATTCTGTGTAACATATAGAAAATCGATTTAATGGACATTCTGTAAAAATTTCGTCTAAAAGAAAATTCTATTCAATGAAATTCTATGAAATAAAAATTGTAACAAATTTCCACTGAAAAAATTATATTTAAAATTTTTAGAATATCTTCTTGGCGCCTATTTAAAAATATTTCCCATGCATTTTATTCTTAAAGTTAGAATATAATATTCTTAATATAAGAAACATTTATTAAATGAAGAATTTTTTCTTCAGTCTGTAGAATATTTCTTAATTTAAGAATTGTTTTCTACAGAAATATTCTACAGACTGAAGAAAAAATTCTTCATTTAAGAAATGTTTCTTATATTAAGAATATTATATTCTAACTTTAAGAATAAAATGCATGGGAAATATTTTTAAATAGGCGCCAAGAAGATATTCTTAAATTTAGAATATAATTTTTTCAGTGCTGCTTTTAGGCATTATTCATGCGTCTGTAAAAAATTTTCCAAGAGAACTTGAACGTCTTTTTCCGACGTTAATATCCATAAACTCTCTAATGTAAGGATCTCACCTTTTGGCTTGTGACCCACTCTTATTTGCTGCTGCTGCTGCTGCTTCCAATCAACCCTATAACTGCAACTTAAACCCTGTAATTGGTGAGTTAACAAGCGTTAACTCTAAGCTTCCTGTCAGATTTAAGAATCTTCTTTCATCATTTCATTTCATGGGGGTTGCGACCTTCTCTCATTTTCTAAAATACATACTCTACTCGTTAGGGTCATTTATATAATCTCGTGAGAATAATATATATATATCCAAGTTTTACATCTACATTTTTAATAAATTATTTACCATTTTAAGAGCATTAAGAAAAATAATTGTTACATTGATTTAGTTATTTCTTGAAAATTGAGAAAAAAATATAATTTCACTGATGCAACAATTTGGAATTGTTATTGTTAAGGAGAACTTAAGAAAATTCGTTGCGGTAAAAATTGAAATGATTAACAAATTTTTGACTTGTTACATCATTCTCAGCAATATTTGCGTCAACGTTCTATTGTCTATACGGTGCGATAATACCTAATTTTCTTATCAATTTTTGTTAAAAATACTCGATGACGTTATATATATATTATTTTCAAAGAAATATAAAAGTTGAGAAACACTTGTAATTTTCAAGAATATTTTCTTTTAAAAAATTAAAATTAGAATAGATTGCAAATTTACTTTTATTTTAGAAATTATTGCATATACTTTTATTCTGCACATTGGAAAACAATCACGCTGTAGTGTATTTCCTATATGGAGAGAAATACGTAGAAATAATGCTGCTGATATTATCAGACTTTTTTTATATAGGTTAATTTGTTCATCCAGTCAAGAATATCGAAAATGTTTTCCTAAAGAAAATGAGAAATATTTTTCTTTGTCGCAGGTGTGCG